CACCCCTTCATTGTTAGGGGGGCCTTGTGAAAGCAAGCCCCCCCATTTTCCGGAAGAATTTTATGGGTTGGGCTATAAACTAGCCAACTACACGGGCAGCCATGACATGCAAAGCAGGTCTCCCGCTCAAGCTCGTCCATGCGTCTTGTTGCGCATTTCCGTCCAACTTCACGGCCCAAAATCACCTTGCTCAAAGCATAGGAAGGGCCAACAAACAGATAAGGAACGAGTGCAGCAAGACAGTAAAACTTGGTCTGAAAATAAACTCTGATGCTCAGCGGTTTGCAACTGAGCTTTCCACGAAATGAAGGCACGCCAGGATTGCGAGCGGCATCAGAACAGACTGGCCAGCAAAAGGCTGGGCAAGGCCATATGACAGATCCTCTTTGCACAGCCTGGCAGCATAATAGATAGAATTGGGCAGCTTTGCCCATACCGCCTCTTTGATCAAAAAACGTAGGATCCAGAATCGACCAAACAATATCCGTCCAGCCACCACGTGTCCCCAGTTCAATGGTATTGGACAAGTAAGTCGGTAGATTGCTCGGAGCCACACGTTGAGGCCACTTTGCGGATTCTCGATCAGCACGATTGGGCTCAAAGGACAGATGCCGGACAGAGCACGAAGCAGCCGGATCGCCAAGCCCCAGCCAACGCGGCCTGCTGAAAGCCCAGCAGCCATGCCTCACGAATTGCACGTGCTTTGTGCCCTTGCCTCTGAGCAAGTCGAGGCTCTTCTAAATTGAATCAGTTGATGAAGTATCCACACGCAAAGCAAGACAAAAGCTGGAAATGGATGCATTGGCGTACAAGCTGCCCAGCATAGTGCCGACATGGCGTACCTCCCTTGATCGCTCCGTCCTGGGATCATATTCTGGGAGCACCTGAGGCCAGGCAAGAATTTCTGCACAAAACTAACTTGTTAGCAGGATTCATGCAGGGCGGCATCCGGCCAGGCCTAATATAACTCTAGGATGCTCTAGGTGTTTCTGTTTTATCTAATGCCATGACTCTAGTCAAGAACAATACGTCTTCTCATGTCTGGTCTAAAGGCCAGGCGGCCGTGCGCAAAGAGTACGTTGCTGCAGCAGCCAGGCGAAAGCAGCCCCGGAAAGAGTCCCCAGCGCTGCAGTTGCCCTGTAGCCAAGAATTGACAGGAAACAACTCGGAATGCCTTGGGGAAATGCGAGTGCACTCCAACAAAAGGTCTCCAATAGAAAAATCAGGGTCAGAATGGTGATAGTGGATTGTACTATAAGTACTTGGTAATTCAGTTGCTGAGGACACCACTTCACTCGAGAACGCACTATGATTGACCAATAGCTCTCGTCCACTTACCTTCAATATCCAAGTCCAGAAGCGGAGGATACGTGTCTTACAAACCCTTGCTCTGGCGCCTGGACAAGATCCCACACCTGGGTCATGCCACAGCGTGAAAAAGAAGCACAATCATTCCAGCATTAACGGTTCAACTGGAAACAAAAAGGAAACCTTCTTCTGCAAGCACCTAGGCTCATCCACCATGTAGTCTTGCGCAAGCTTCTTTGCGCAAGGGGCAGCTGGCAAGGGAGTAGATGGCCACCCATGAGGGACATAGCCTGCATCATTCACATGATGTCACTTCCCCCAGTACAGGCCACGCTCCTCCCCATTAATTACATGGTTTGGTTTGCCTAGTGGTCTCGTCTTGGGTCTCAAAGGGAGTACATAAGTATTACGAGTAGGTTATAGTAGCCTCTTAAAACCCCTTTCAGGACAATTACTGGGAGCGGGACTAACCCATGGTGTTTAAGTCGTGCGCTTCTGGTCAGGGGATTTCGTGTGCAGGGTGTACGGGAGGCGAATGTCATAGGCACCTTGTCTTTCAGAAAGGTTCTCCATTCATGGGCTCGGAAATGGACAGCACCAAGCGCTGCTAACGGTTCGAAAGCGCTCCGCAGATAGAGTTTGAGCTTGTGGGCCAGGAAGCCCTACGCTCATGTCTGAGGCTCAGTCATCTCTATAATGAATCCCCAATACATGCACCTATAATGATACCCATGTTCAGTTTTCCCCACTCCTCTTAAGCACCAGTGGGGGGGGCATAAGTTGGAGAGGTCGAAGCTGATCACCCTCACGCAAGAAAGGTCAAGAAGCAATTTTGGGAACCCAGTTTTCCTTAGTAACAATAATATGATAATAAAAAAACGTTATAGGAATAATCAGTAATAATAGTAATAGTAGTAACAATAGCAATAAGAGCAATAATAGTGATAATATAATAGTCTTGATAGGGTGACGCGGGGATTCGGAAACAAAAAACGCGGCTTCGGAAACTAAAAATGCGGATTTGGAAACTACAAATGCGGACTCGGAAACGGTTTCGGAAACTACTACCAACGGATTCGGAAACTGGAAACTCGGATTCGGAAACTAAAAGCGTAGTTTCGGAAACTGAAAGACGCAGATTCGGAAACTGGGAGTCGGAAACTACTTCGAACGGATTCGGAAACTGAAAAGCGCGGATTCGGAAACTGAAAAGCGTGGATTCGGAAACTACTACGCGCAGATTCGGAAACTACTAAGCGCGGATTCCGAAACTACCGCGTGCTCGGAGTTGTAAGCTGGAACAGGACTGCGGAAAGTAGAAGCGTCCTCGATTTTGGAAGGCAATCGCACAAGCGGACTTGGAAACCAGTAAGCAGACCAGCGTGCGGATTCGGACAACTAATACGCGTGGCTGCGGAAAGTCAATCATTTTCTCGCAAGGTGAAAAGGGGGGGTGGTTTTGACATATGTCTCTACCTGGTTATCCCTCTGTCACTCGATTCATCTTCTCGCACGGTGGACAGGGGGGTGCTTTTGACATATGTCTCTACATGGCTTTGCCTCTGTCATGCAATTCCTCTTATATCGCAATGTAAGGGTGCGAAATAGCTTCTGTATCGGGCCAAACAGGTTTTCCCTCTGTCACTCCATTCCTCTTCTCGCAAGGTGAAAAAGGGGGTGTTTGAACATATGTTTCTACATGGCTTTCTCCATGGTTTTCCCTCTGTCACTCCATTCATCTTATCGCAAGGTGACGAAGGGGGGTTGTTTTAACATATGTCTCTCCCTAGTGTTCCCTCTATCACTCCATTCATCTTCTCGCAATGTGAAGAAAGGGAGTCTTAACATATGTCTCTACATGGCTTTTCCTCTGTCACTGTATCCTCTTCTCGCAAGGTGACAAGGAGGGTGGTTTCAACATATGTCTCTACATGGCTTTCCCTCTGTCACTCCTTTTACTTCTCGCAAGGTGAAAAAAGAGAGGGTTTTAACATATGTCTCTCCATGGTTTTCCAGGTGTCGCTCCATTCATCTTCTGGAAGGGTGAAAAGGGGGTGGTTTTCACATATGTCTCTACATGGCTTGGCCTCTGTCATGCAATTCCTCTTATATCGCAGTTTTAGGATGCGAAATAATTTCTGAATCGGGCGAAACAGTTTCTGAATCGTAGTTTCTGAATCGGGCGAAATAGTTTCTGAATCTTAGTTTCTGAATCGGGCGAAATAGTTTCTGAATCGTAGTTTTTCTGAATCGGGCAAAATAGTTTCTGAATCTCAGTTTCTGAATCGGCGTAGTTTCTTGAATCAGTGCCAATAGTTTCTGAATCGGTCCAAATAGTTTCTGAATCGCGGATAGTTTCTGAATCGGTTTTCAAGCGTGTTAACAGTACTACTAACAACAGCTTTTCCTGACTCGAGCTTGCTTCTCGCCCTCGCTCTTCGTTCCCTGCTTGGCTGAGATGCGCTGTGGCATGTGTGGCCTGCCTGGGTGGGAAGAAAGGAAGGCCTCCACTGCAGCCCGCGCAATTCGATTAGGATGCACTGGCCCTCAGCAATGAAGACTCCAGCGATTGAAGCTCAGCTTTCTGCAAGACTATCTCAAAATCAAAGCAAAACCATTGCTGTCCAAGGGCCACCATGTGGCCCAGGCAGCGGCTGATTTGTCAGTGGATCCACCAGTCGATGCCGAAGGGCTTTCTCGTACATGTCCTTGGCGAGTCAACAGCAAGAGGGCCATCATAAAACCCATCCGCACTGCAACTACTGGTCAAGCAGGATTGCTGTCATTTATCATTCGCACCATGGAAACATGTCATGTTAACTCGAAATCAGAGTCTGGTCGATTAGTTGGCTCCATGTTATTGGCAGGTGCAATGACAGCATCCAACCACCCATCGAGTGGCTCTTTCATAGGTGTTGCCACACATGTTGACGACTGGCTCCCGAAACCTGGCGACACATGTTGCCTTGACATGCTAGGCTCACGACTGCTCATTGCATGATCGGCAGGGTCGTTTGCGTGTTTCTCGGATGACTGGATCTGATCGGAACTGGATTTCAGAAGACAGAGGCTTAGCTTGCTCTTCTTCTTCTGCGTGCCATGCGCAGTCCTGAAGGACCACACGTGCGCTTCACCCCGGAGCACCCGCCTCTTTCCAGGGGAACAAATTCCCCATCGGCTTTATGGCCGAGGAAGGATTAACAGTTGACTGTCTTTCCCTTTCTCTCTTTGTCCCTGATCATCTTGCCATGCAACCAAACGAGAAGAGTTTCTGGCATGCTCACTTTGTCGGACATCCAAGTGTTCAACAACACTTTCTGGGCAGGATATGGCTTCGTGCCGAGTTGCCCTTACTACTGCCAGCGCTTGCCAGATTTCCTAAGACACTCCATTTAGATTCCTATAGGTGTACTGCTTATACACTCTCTGCAGCAAGTGGCATCGTGGCAGAGAGTGGGCATAGGAGCCAGTCTGGCTCCTCTATAGCATCCTCTATCATGGCTCTCTCCAAGATGGCGCCATGAGCTGTCAGAGCTTTAACTGCAACTTGAGCAAAGTGCTCAGGGTGATCAGGGCGGTCACAGAAAGTTACCGGCAGCAACAGCATGCGATGTTAGCCTCCTGTAGACCTGTCAAGAGCTGAACTCACTTTTGACGGCTGGCGACACGACCCCACGCAGTCCCTGCCCCTGTCACTCCATGACCACCTCGCAAAGCGTCTGTAGCACCTCAGCATGACTCACAAGTGACAATCAACCACTTATCTTCAGCGTATGTTGGACATTAATATTGTGGTCTGATGGGGCTAGCCGGATTTCAGATCACACTACTACCCTTCAGATAAGGGGAAGGACTGGACTGCCTCTCGGAATGGTCGCAAGTTTCCGTCGCCCTTCGGATCGATGATGGCAAAAACCACAGAATCGAAAGCACCACGGAAATCGTCGGAAGCCAGCTGCTGGCAAAAGAGCCTTGCAGACAAATCCATAGGGCTTCAAGAGCTACGTCTGCTTCCAAGGACAAATGTTGCTACGCTGCGGCTGACGGCGATTGAGATTCACAAACTGTGCTCCTATAATGATAACACCTAAGCTTCGGATGTCCCTGAGGTCCATAAAGGAAACCCAACTGTTGCCAACATCTCCGGGGTGCTGTGCCACCTCCCTTGGAGGGTTTCCGAAGGCCCCACAACCCCAGGCACCCAGAACCAGGTTGGGATGCCCAGATTGCAATCTGTGCCAGGGAGGACAATCAAAAATGCTAGCAGCATCCCCTGTTATTGAACCTCTGACATGACTCCGCGCTGGCCAGTTGATGATGTTATGTTCTCTATCTGGGCTCACTTGCCGGTTCGTTTAGATAAGAATCTCTCAACCCACAGGCACTAGCGTGGGATGATCGTGAAGATGTTCTGAACGAAAGAACAGTAGCACTCCAGACAAGAATACTTGATACCGTTGCGTGCGCGCTAGTCACCTCACAGCTGGCAACCAATGCTCTAGAAGGTCCCTCCAAGTTCCAGAAATTGACTCAAAGCCCTGCTGGCTAGTTGCTGAAATATCTACGTAACGTTCTTGTACAATTCCTGCACATGCTTCCGTGCCAAGGCTCGCAGCATGAAGAACTGCTCGAATTCTCACAGTTACTGTCGAGGTCCATTCAGAACTTCGCGGCGTAGGGCTTCCTCAGAAGTTTGACGCCCAAGTTGACATCAAACAAATTCCAGACTTGTGGCCAACGCGGGACAAGCTGAAAGCAAGGCATGCCGCCATCCGGCATCGCTGCGGTGATCATGCTGCAGCTTCCCAAACAGCGGCACAGCCGATAGCTGCCAGGTTCCCCTTTCGGAAAAGGCAGACAAACGGGCAAGATGGCTTGGACGACACACCCATCGCGGTCAAAGCAAAGTGGCGGACAGCTAGCAGCTCCCATGTCAGAAGGGCTGCCTCAGAGAGGACAAGTACTGCCCCATACGTCATATTATCGAGAGAAAGGGTACGAATGTTGGCACCTGTGACGAGTGTAGCAGCACTGCAGCAAATTCATAAAGTCATTGGCGTTTTTCTTGGTTGTTGAACCCAGTAAGATTATATTCCTTCTATAAAATACTATACCCCAAAGGAGGATATAATCTTACTGTATATAGGGTACCATAGCATCCCGAGATAAAATCCTACTCTGGTGAGCGTGTTGGAAGCGTGCAACCTTTTCTGCCGCCAGGGTGCACTCACTTTCAATGGGTAGAAGCCCTGCAGCTAATGCAGTGCAGCGCAACCCACTACATGATGTTGCTTGCTTGCGCTGACTCTATGCCCCGCGTACATCCATCGAGATTTGCGATTGCTTGGCTGTCCTGGCGTTGGGCATCCAGAAGCGTTGCGTGTAGCTGAGGAAGCAGTCGACAAAGGTCCTCTTCCTGGGAGGGTACTTGAAGTGTCAGGGGCACTTAGTAAATGGATTAGGGTTAGAAGTATAACTAATTGTCCCCGTGAGCCTCATTGTATAGCCGAAGGCGCTGGGTTGCTGGAGCTGCCATCACTGCTGCCGGCTTAGGAGCTCAGCTTTACTTCTACCGCCCCCAACGACCCATGAGCAGTCGTCACATGTGTGTTATGGGAAGCTCGCTGGCGCTCATGGATCTCAACAATTTGAACCGGAATAAAAACCCTTCTCAAGCATCCTCTGCCCTTGCACTGCTCTAGCCTAGAGCAATAGATTCGAGATTCAAAAGTGAAGTGACTCCCCAAGGCATCAAAGCTGCTTGCGCGCGAGCTCCGTGCAAGTAGCCTCCTCCTCGCAATGCCACGTTCAGAATGCATAGACTCCAGCACACCAGCTGTGCATTTGCAGTCCTGGGTGCTCTGCATTCGCAAAATTCAAAGCACAGGCGTTCTGGAGCACCAGCGCGGCTGTAAGAGTGTCAACATTTGCGACAGCCAATTTTGTCTCTGCAAACTGCCGCCTTGCCTCAACAACATGTCTACTTTGCAAGAGCAATGAACACTTTCTGTTTAGGTTACTTTGCTCCCAACTGTCCAACTCAGCTGCCTCCACAGCACAAAATATTACCTCTTCGCTGCGAAGGTGTGGCAGGATCTGATGACCTCCAGCCGCAAACATCAAACCTGTTTGTGGAGCTCAAACCCCCTACTTGCTGTGAGCAACCGCTTGAAGCAGAAGCAACAGGCACAAGAAACAAGATCAGCAAACTCGTCTTGCACAATCGTACAGCAACCGATTGCCTCCATCAGGGAGTTCAAAACCTCCTGAATTCATAATTTCCGCATTCTCGCGCGGGAGCGAGAGATGCATTGGACCAGGAGCACGGGAAGAGTAGGCTCTGAGTTCCAGCTGTCGGATCAAATCAGGACACCAGACATACTGATGCGACATTGGCACTTGGCTCTCCATGGGCAAGTCACCAATTTTGAGTTGAGACTAACATGTATCAAACAAAACAAGGATGCGGCCTTGCACCATATGCGTATCTATTGCAAGGTGTGTTTGCGTGCGTGTGATGATGGTTCAGGCTGCAAAACTTGAGCTGAAAACTGCAAGCAGGCCATCTCGGACAAGAGTGCAGGTTTAGGATCATTGCACAAGACATGTCTTGCCCAGGGGACCTGACAGAGATGAGCGAATGGCAACTGCGGAATCCCAAGCGCAGGCCAGTCAGCGCACGAAGTGCTGACAGCCCCTGAACAGGACGTGCACGTTTCCCACACAAGCTTAATTAATCACAAGTGCCAATACGAACTTTCCGGCCTGCCCGAGTGGGCGCGCCTCCACCAACTTTGGACTGCTAGACCTAGGCTGCAAGAAATGAGGGCATGTTGTAGAACTTTAAGGCTGAGAAGCGCACATCTGCAGGTCCAAAGTCGCAAGCTGATGTAGTAAAGGTATGCCTACGCCAGAAAAAGGCTTGAAAGAGATGATCCCCGGTCTCCGGCCAAGTGTGAAAGACCTGGCACCCAGGCCATGCAGGAGGTCTGAAGCCCTCAATGCCATCGCCTTGCTGCAGGTCTTCAACTGTGCTCGTCTTCGCGCATCCGGCTAGGGACACCTCTCGTTCGCGCTTCAAAATTTCATGAATGCCCCTTCAGCATGGGGCAAGACGCAGGGACAAAGCATACCGGCTAAGTAGCAGGCTCTGAGAGACGAAAGAGCCCGAAGACAATTGACACCTGGGAGGAAGAAATCTGAAATTCAGGGCACATTTCTTTACCTCACCCATCTTTCTTTTGATACGAAATCCAACAACGTGGGAGGACTTGGTGAATGTGCACCAGGAGCTCAGATTCTGATGAGTTTACGGTCAAGCGGTCTCAGGCCGCGCCACTTGCAAAGCGTGGATGATAATGAGAGCGTGTAAAGCTTCACAAGACGCCTGCATGTCTTGCTAAGTGTGGGAAGGATTTGCTGCAACTGCTCCTGCAAAATATTGACGAAACAGCAAGATGTTGAGATGCCCCAAAGTTCTGGTGGTATTGTGATTCGAAGTTCGGTCCCCTGTGCAGGGGCCGGAGAGGGAGCAGGGCAGGAAGGCGGAAGATACAGAAAGAGACTAGGGAATTGAGGTCGAAGAAAATTAATGGGTGAGGCAAAAGAAAGTACTTCTGCCTACAAGCCAAGCCTGCAGCTGGCAAGCGCCAGACCAACCTTTGTCTCAGGCCCGGACTTGGGGATGGCCCAGTCATCATTTCTTGACATTCACTCCATCCTTGCTGGCAAGGTTACAGGGTCCTTGAGTCCTTACAATGGCTCGTAGCAACAGCTAGGCCCCCTTCGGGTTGAGAAAGCGAAAGACCAGAATGCATCTCCTGCTCCCAACCTCAGGCATCAGCCCTGGGCACAAGAACATCTCGATGGTATAGCACTCCAAGATTGCATCCGCAAGCTCAAGAGCTGGAAATCATAAAGTTGCATCATGGCTTGTGTGCTGATAGACATCTTGCAGGGAAGAGCAAAGCTGCAATCTAGCTGTCAAGATTTGCAAGCAGGCAGCGTTCCATGTTTCATGGCTCGACGGACAAAATCCACGAATGGCTCTTGCCAGGTATGTCCAACCTCAAGTTTGTCATCACTTTAGGAACTGTCGCGTGAAGCAGGGGTGCTCAGACTGCCCTTCCGCATCTTCAGAACTGCGACTCTTCACCGCGGGAACTGAGGTTCTGGCGAACCATGCTGGTAGCTGCCCGTACTCCTGGCAAGAAAGCAGTAGTTACCCAACTGCCTTGTGGGCAGCAACAGGACTTGTGACGTGTATGCACACATGTCCATTCAACACTGGCACGCATTGAGCCATGTCTATGTTGATACTTGGATGTCTCGCTCCACGACGCTGATCCGCCGCAAGCACTTGTCTAGACTCGCTCCCCGACACTGGTCCACAACGGCTTGCTTTGGAATGTGCAAGCCGAGCATGTTCGGCTTGGTAGGAAAGAAACGTCGGGGGGAAAGGGTGTGGGCTGCAGCCCTTTCAGAAAGCAAACCTCGAACCCTGGCAAGCCATTTTTTGCAAGCCTACAATGGTCCGCAACGCGTGCGAATAGCCCAATCCCTGCTGGACACTCCGCAACCCGCCATGCTATGACTGTGAGTTTTTGTAATTGACGGAGCACTAGCCGATCCCTTGTTTGTAGCCCAACGACTTCTTGACCTGAATCTGGGTGATGAATGGCTAAGCACGTTGATTAAAGGCTGACGGTCTCTAGAGAAACTATGTTCAAGGCACCTCTTCTATTAGATCGGAGTAGGATGCACAGAATCCGTACTCCCAATGCAATGAAACAAAATCTGCTAAAATTTCGGTACTACCAAGCTACGGAAACTTGTGACCAATTAGCTGCAGCCGTGTCCTCCTTGGCCACAGCCTCGACGTAACCTAGGCCATGGCAGGGTCATATGTGAATCATATGCTGAGAAGCCGAAGACTCCGGCTGCACTGCAGCCTTGACGTAACCTTGGCGGAATCCCAAACACAACACGCACCGTGTCACATATCAGGCTTAGCCGAAACTTGGCAACCTACAGGCTGGACCAACCAGAAATGGAGCTGGGCCAGCGTCAACTTCCTCACGAGCAAATTCATTGCTGTAGCCTGTCTGACCTGCATCACCTAGTCACCATCAGACATGAAGCAGCTATTCAGCATCATGTCATTGCACCGCAAAATCATTGCCCTCAAACAACAAATACGAGGAGCAGGCCTGACTAGCAAACAAGCAGCACGCAAGGACTCCTGTAATGCAGCTGCTCACCCGTCCTGGCTGCACACCCACAGCTTGTGGTTTTCCCAAAGCAATGAGCGGAACTGCTGCAAGTGCTCCTGCTGTCATACCAACCTCTAATAACGCCATCATCATCGCAACCTTAATGGTTGCACATGGGCTCCGACCAAGAACGCGAAGACATGTTCGCTGCAGCACATCATGTTGAGACACCCATCTTAGTAGCCCACGCTTCTTCACAAAAACCTTAGCTCCAGCTACAAATGTGATGAGGAAAAGAAGATTTGCTGCATTCCACTTGAGCAGCAGCCGCATGGAAGAGGAAACTTGGTCAAAGCGTCTCCAAGCGAAATGAAAAGGTTGGCCATGTTGGCCGCCACGCCAGGTTTTTGGATAAGGATTCATGACTTGAAGCTCTTGACGCTTTTGCTGGGCTTGACTCGTGAAGGTTTCCCTCCGCGAGTGTTGGGGTGATGGGATTTTGAGCTCTTTTTGCACACAATTGTGCAGAACCTGGCATGCTTGTCCAGAACGCTGCGCTTCCTAACAGAGATTCACCCTGATGCTTCCAAAAAAGTAAGGTCAGCACCAAAATCTTTTTGAGCTGGTCGAATGTTATTCCGCGCCTTTCCACTTTGCTGATCCTTCCAGGGCAAAGCCTCCTGTCCCGTGCAAGCTTAAGCTTCACAGTCTGACAAGGGCAAACAATGAAACGCTCCATTGAAATCCACTTCGGGCGCCTTATACCTGGTCCACTGCGAGTCAGCTCTGAGAAATCGAGATCTCGAGGCCTGTGCGTGCTTGCACTTTCAATGTCTAGCAATGCTTTCTCAATGACGACCCGCAAACACAAAAGCGCACCACATCTGCCTCAATCTTCCAAGACTTGACCATTCTTCCACAGCACGTCCTCCAAGCATCTGACAAAATCTGTCTTCTCCTACGCACATGCCAGTCTGAGCATCGCAAGCCCGAAGCCTCGAGCGGGACGTACTCTGACAAGCGGGCTGAAACTTATCTCCTCCTCATCATCCTGTCGAAGCAAGCGTTGAAGACCAGAAGTTCTGGCTTCAGCTTTTTCTCCCGCCTCTCCGGTCTCATGTGTGCTCCAAGTCCCCTCTGGCAATTTCCTTCAGCATGTGCCCAGCTCTATGTCTAGCACATCTAGAACATGCATGTTTGCAGTAATACTGGGCAGCATGCGTGACTTGATATCCGACCTTCTGCAAGGGCATAGGGCACATTCCGCTTACACACCTTCAAAACTGGGGCTCTGGCCTCGTCATCTACGCACCGACCTGGCTCCAAAAATGCTGGTACTTGCGGCGGGCCACAACTTGCAGCAAGCAAGCCCAGCTAAGGATCCTGCAACAGCACCCAAAGTCTACCAACAAGTCCTGCCGTGTCTCAACGAACTCAAAGGGAAAAAATGCGTCAGCAGTCAGAAGCATGATGGCCAGGAGGGTTTTTGTCCGGCCCCACCAAAATTGCAGAAAAATCAGAGAGCTTTCTGCCAACCCCATCCTGCATCCTGAAACAACTTCTCTACACACGTATTTGCTATGCTGAGTTGTCCAAAATATCTGCACTCAACAATCCGTGGTACCTCCTGGAATGCAAAGCTCCCACGGGTGCAGCATGAAAATGCGCCCCAGAACATGCTAGGAAGGAAGGCTGAGACAAGAGGGCCTGTAAAATCCTGGGATCTTGCTTTAGGATGACTTCTTTGACAAATTGTTCAGCTGTCAGATTGTGATTGGAGAAAGTTGTACCATGCTGGACCACGCACTCAGTCATTGGTCGACCGACACCCTTGCACACACCTAGCGAATACAAACTTTGTTCATGGAGTCCTGTCAACCAGTTTGCGCCACGCAGGCACACCTCAAGTCTTTGAACTTGGTCTCTTCGCATCATGTATGCCAACGAAGCCCCAAAACCCCTGCCTACAAGTCTGCATGCAACAGCCTGGTCACCAATGCCTGTGGCCCAGGGCTGGGCACTCTTCCAGACTCTGCTGGAATTGGCTGGCTCAATTGCAGTCAACGACATGAAGCGAAAGAACCCACCTCACCCAACCAGCAAGTCAGTCCCTTAAGTTTTGGCACCAAAAGTCACCTGGGAAGTGCGGTCCTGCTCCGCACTGGCCATGACAAGGGCTGCATGGGATCAAGCCCACAAGGAGTTGCGAGGTTCCGCTTCGTCTCATAACTCACGAATCACGGAAAGTATTTGTGGTTCAGGGATTCCCATGTCTGACTCGCGGCACCTCATGAACCTGATCGTTTGGATGCTTATGTTGAGCGGTGGACCTTCATTCAAGGCAGATGCAGCCAAAAAAGAATCTCACCGGGTTGCTTGACCAATTTGGCAAACTTGGAGAAACATCAGCATGCTCACGATGTCGACAATTAACCGCACTTAAGGTTAGAGAGATATCTCGGACGCAGCGCGCCCAACGCATCTTTTTGTCAGCTGCACCAGAGAGCTGCGTTGCCGACCTTTTTTCAGGCAAGCTGAGTCATCCTCAAATGCTGTCTTGATGCCCAAGCAGATGCCCGCCTTCACCACTGGGCACAAAGTAGTTCACCTTTGGGCTTCCTTGGCGCTGTCATCATACACCGTCCCAGCTGACTTGCGGTGACACACTTCGAAAATGCATGCCAGGGTGCATTGCTGCGAAGCCGATGGTGCCGACTTCTCCATCAACTGCCCTGGCTTTCTGATTTCAATCTGCCGGCCTCACTGCATGATACTGCATGTGGAATGCTGGAGTTTCAGAAGTCAGTCTGCCCTCTACAACGGAATTGGTATGTAGCAGAGCTTCTGGGCAAACTGACAAATTGGAATAAAACAATGCCAGCATGCAGCCAACCCACAGTGTAGATCTCCATGTCCATGTTCTCGAATCACCTTCCATCTTGTACGATCAACGTGTCTGGCCTTAGTCTATGTCAGTCTGACAAGCAAACACTTTTTGCAAATCAGTCAAAATTCAGCCAAAGCAGCCATCTGGCCGAGAGGGATCCCTTCCTCACAAGCCCCAGGATTTTCAATTGCAGTCACGAAAAACATGCTGCCGCATCGTATTGAGATGAGCATCTTCTGCAGGTGTATGTACAGGAGTTTTCTACCCGAATCTGAAGCCAATTCCCAGTAACATTCCTCTGCTTCCACATCGCAGCCAGGCTGTCCAACCAGTACAGGTTCCTTAGCACACCAGGATTCTGTGTCTGGAAGTCGTGGCCTTGCACGTCAAACAGCCAATGCTATCGGCTCGAACCTCTCGAGCCAAGCATCTCCCTGCACGGCTAGGAATATGTACTTTTCTTGAAACACGTGGCTCACGTCCCGGGGCTTGATATCGTCTCCCACAGGAACAGTCACCAGAACCTCCGCTCCCTTGCCTGAGTTGGCAAGTCCTCTTCCAATTCGTGAGGTAACAATAGTGCATGTACAAAGCTGTTAATACTGCTGAGTTGGGTTGGGCTGCTCAGCACTGACAAGCATTGCAGGTGACAAAAATCTAAGAACTGCTGATACCAAAGCCCAATGATCAGTCGCAAAGGTCCAAGAAGTTTGACGTAGAAGTCCAGCTTCACATGGTAGGTATGCCAATGGAGGAGAGAAGCCCAAAAGCACGCATGTTCACTAGTCCAATAGAAAACGATGGCAGCACTCCATCTGATAAGACCAAAGCCATGGCTCATAACACATCGGCTTTTTGGCCCAACAAGGACATACACAGATTCAATAAGGAATAACGGTGCTTTCCCCTTATAGGATACCCCAAAAAATGGAGACGCAAGTAGAACAAGAAAACGGAAAACAAAGGGGAAACTGGGATTACATAGGGATGTGTGGGATTATATGGAGCATGGCAGAACCCCATCTCATCTGAGCATAGCTGTGGATAATGTACGGCATGAAAGTTAATAGCACTGCTGAGCACAATAGAGCACAGCAACCCACCGTCTAAGATCATGATGAGCATCTCACTAAACATCATGAAAGCATATCTGCCATGACTTGAGCGGAGCAGCAAAGATCAGTATTCCATAATGGTCGTTGGCCACACAAGTATATGTTTAATTTGTAGGGCCTTGATCAGAGGAGTCTGAGGTATTCATAGCCATCGCAGGCTCCCCCAGAACCAAATTCCTAAACCCTTTTGGGGTTAGGGCTTATGTGAGAGTGGCCACCTGCATGAGCACCTCTCGGGTGGGTAACATTTTCTTAGATCACACTAGAGACAGGGAGTAGACAGGAGAAAGAGGGAGGAGAGAGGAGAGAGAGAGAGAGGGAGTAGAAAGGAGACAGAGACAAGAGCGAGAGAGAGAGAGAGACAGAGGGAGAGAGAGAGCCGGAGAGGAAAGAGTGTTTTCGATCAGCTTGCATGCTGCATAAGACTGAAGTTCTGCACCCAACATGCAATCAAGACACGCTCCCACAAATACTTCCCATCAGGACTGGAGCCGCCAATTCCAACATCTTCTCTCCCATATCTGCGAATCACATCCTGGAAGCAGCTCCAGAAGTTACAGCATGAACTCCAGCTGCGCAGGTGTTCACTGGTTTGTGCATATCCGCTATGCATCTGCAATGACTAGCTACAGGTTGACAGGAATTCACCTTCAGCTTCCGAGATTAACTTGGTTCCTGGCCTCTGCTGCCACACCATTCTCAGGGGCCTTGATGACATCTAACAGCTGGACATCGAAAGTGACAGGTGTGTCTGGAGGGACTTGCCATCCCTTCTCGTCACGTGCGCCGAAGGATCCATAAGCAACGTCTGGCAACAAGTGAAAGATTGCCCGCCTAAGTTGCGTAAAGCTACATAATTTCTTTGCATGCACACACGCAAGTAAGATGAGTAAACAATTGTTGAGGTGCTCTCCCTTCCGCATAGTGGCCACCCCTTCATCGAAGCCTGGTTCGCAAAGGTGATGAAATCTCATCTGAAAGCTAAACGTGCGTTCCCTGTTTCCCAAGTCCTTCCAGAACATGCTCTGCCCCAAGCTGGAACTTGAATGGCTGGTCGCGTTTCATGGTGTCATTGAAGATGCTTCCATCTGGCAGGGTGCCAATGAAGTGCACCACACACTCATCGCCGAAGATGGGATATATGGGCGGATCAAGGCCCTCTCGAACCATGCTCTTCATCACGCTTCCGTCGCCGAGGACGTCGTCTGGCTGCATGTACAAGTCTCCGGAGCGAATGCTCCCAATGGAGTCATCGCCTGGTGGTGCTGAGGCTGTTGCGTCCAGCTCACCCTGCGCAGCTTTGCGGAAAGGCAGCTGACAACGGTTCTGGCATTGATTGGTCCTGCATGACATGTGTTCAGCAGCCGGGCATGCCGGCCTGAAAAGGCAAAGCCCAGAAACTGCAGCAAGTGCGAGCGGCAAAGGTCGTCGCGAACAACTGGAACTGCTGTTGGGCACTACAGTTGAAGGCGCAGCGATTCTTTGACCAGACCTTGCAAAAAGTTACGAACACCTGTCTGAACTAATACAAGACGAACTGCATCGGAAAGCCGTGCCGAAGCAGCTAAGACACCAAATGACTCTGTCGCACGCCGACCCCTGCAGTGGAGCCATCCTATGCAGACAGACGGCAGCTGGTCCAGATTCCATCACGTGCTACCCTGGCAATCGTTGTGGGAAGTTCTGGCGCTGTTCAAGGCTGCCAGCTCATGACAAGAAGAACGCCAAAAAATGCAAGGAAATGGACCCATTCTAACAGCAGTGCTGCAGTAATTGCCTTGACAAGGCGCAACTAGTGCGAAAAAAACATGTCAATCATTCCATCCAGTCCAGGCCATCACCTTACCTCTCAGCTTTCTGGATCATTGTGCAGGGGTGGGATCCCTGGCAGGTTCGAATAATATGGATTACTTACCAGCAATGAAACCCGTTGGGATGCAGGTTCGAAGCCTTGAGATCAGTCCGGGTGCCCATTCAAGGTCTTGAAAGCGGACGCAGGTACAAAGGTCGATGTGTCAAGCCAAGAGTCTTTCTTCCGCAAGTCCCACTTACAAGCTCAAACAGCAGTGATCTTGCATCCTTTACAGAATGCGCATTTCTACAGCTAAACCCCTCATGTTTGCTTTGAATGGCTGATAATCATGAGCCGGAGGAAGAACACTTGGATCCTCACACTTAGCCTTTCGCAGTTGTGCCACAAGTGGCAATTGAAGGGTTTCAAGCGAAATATGGAGCAGCCCTCGCTGCAACCATCTCGTCAGCTTCTCTTTTGAGACATTCTGCACTGAAAGCTCTGTGCAAGAATCCATAAGATGCTTCCTTTCTGGTCTGCGCACAGCACGAGTCGAATGCCTCACAGCATTTCCGGTCAGTAATTTCCATTCATGGTTCGCAACAGGGAGGAAACAGTGCGGGGGCTGCCATTAAACTCGAATACACGTGTGGCTGTGCATGATGCTGAAAACCTCAAGACCGCACCCAAACACCAAAAACAAACCTTCACCACAGACAAGAAAGATTGCATTCCAAATGGGACACAAATTCATCAGGCGGGTGAAATCATGTCAACCACATGTCTTCCAAACGCCTGATGCCAATGAGTAAAACCCTGACCCGGGTTGTCTGACTTCTGCATCGAGGAAGTCAGGCGTTGCTTTTGTGCACCATGCCACCTTGCTCTCATATGAGAACGGCAGTCCTCCGGACGCCCGGATCTGTGAGACAATGTTTAACATTGACCGTGTGCGTGCGACTTGTTGCGCGAATTGTTGAGGTGCATAAGCAAGCTCCACGTAAGATTGCCAACACGGCCAGGTGTGAAACTGTTGTGATCTTCGTCACACGTGAGACCATTTTTTGTACACTTGTGCATACTGAAAACCAATCCTGACAAGCATGCCCAGTCGCACCTTTCACAACCCACGACGATGCAAACAACCTCAAGACGGTGCCGCACATACAAGAAGCGCAAACATGAAGCTAGGGTTCCCGCAGCATCTCCGCTTATTCTGGTTTTGTGGCGACGACGGCGGGTTCGCAGAAGTCCCCTTACCAGCTGCTGCAATCACCTGGGCGCAGCTTTGCGTAACTTCATGCGCATCTCAGGCTGGCACTTTATCACAAGTGCATGGCCCCGCGTCCTTCTTTCTGAGCTGCCTGTCATGCGTAGACCAGTGGCAGCCGAGGGAGGTTTTGCCAAGTGGCCTTTTGCGATCGCCAACTCTGCTGCGTCGCTGCTGCTGTCGTACCTTGTTAAATTGCTGGGCTAACAGTATGGAATTGATAACTACTCAAAATACTGTCGCACTAGTCGTGGCGGCAGCCGGCGAAGGCGAACGCGCTTTGCTTTTGACTGCTGGGGATGGCGGCATGTCCTGGCAAAATGCCAAGCCCCTTGCAATTGAACAAGTTCTTGCGGGTGACTTTGCCAAAAACATCTAAGCGGCGGGGCACCAAACGGCTCCAAATTGTTCCGCGTCAAACAGTTGGTAGCCTAGCATTTTGAAGTTCTTCGAGGAACTCGCGATGAAATTCGAGATTGAATGTTTGTGGGTATTGTAAATTACTTGGGGCCAGCAGACATGAACCCTACAACCCACAACAAGAATATGCCATCATGTCTGATACAAAGCCGTTTCCTAGGGAGCCCTGGGAATCATTTGTTGGCTGTAGATCCGCGCAATGCCATTGGCAAGTACGTGTGTCGTTTGTGGCCAAGTGAAACTTCATGTGACCGGACGAATGAAAACGATAATTTCACAAAATATTTGTCAAATCGAAAAAACAAACTTTATCATGCCTTCCTCATCGTCTTCTTTTTCTACGTCCACCTCTTACACATAAGATGGGGCTGCGCCCCGGTGTTTGTGAAGCTGAACCTCCCACCAAGCACGGCGCATGCTACATCAGTACAGCGCTGTTGAATTGATTCAAAACAAAAACGAGCGTTACCGCCTTTTTCTCCGCTCAGCAGCTACACGGGCTTCATGATAGTGACCTGGTTCCAACACTTGTTATGAACTTCATGCTCTCATGCCCCCTCCCCAATATGGTAACGCTTGTCTATTTTTCTATTGTTGTTTTATTCTTTTAGTTTTCCTTCTTGCCTGTGTCCAAACACTTTCAAACCAAGGACAACCGAATTGCCGAACAAATCAACAAGCAAATGCGTGATGTTAAGCTTTGCCCTCGTTTCAAGAAGTTTGCGCAATCAGCCGGGCATCTGAGGCACCAGAAGGAACAGTAGAATCAAGAGGCCAGGGAACCCCGCTGCGTAGGGCGAGGTGCGGACTCAGATCGGAGTGGCCTTACCTGAATTCTTTGATCTGATACCACCACGTCCCAAAATTACAACTTCACTGCAGCCCAAAGGCAACTACGTAACACTCCTGCCGGTCAATTAAGCACGCACATTCTCGCGGGCATGTCTTTTTTCGACCCCCAATATCTTTTTTTGACCCCCAATCCCTTGGTTGACCTCCCAATATCTTTATTTTGACCCCTAAACCCCTTCAAAACCACTCCCTCTATCTCTTTGTCCACCCCCTCTATCTTTTATGGCACCCCTTATGTCTTCTACCTGATCCCTGCTAGACTAGTTAGGGTCGGAAAGTATAGGGACTACTATAGGGATCTATGGTAGTCCACTCCCCCACTCTCCCTTGAGCTGGGGTGCCCTGCTGGTGTAAATGCAGCTGACATCTGGCTAGTCATCCATGGCGCTGCGAGTCGAATTGAAGTATCCTTTTCCAACAAGCGGAACAAACGATCTGTGAGTTAGCATGCGCTCAACGCTATGCGAAATCCTATACAACTGATCCACTCTGCAGGCTGCCTAATGTTACTGTACATTTCAATAGCCCAAGGGGTCTTAGCCGTAACCACCCTTGAGCATAAACATTTCGTCATGCATCTATGGATCGTTGCTCACGGCCTTCAACACTCCTCCTTGGTCTGAGCGACAGCTTTTGGCCATCACTTGCCCGGAGGCTGAGCCTGTCAGGCGCCTAAAGGCCCTACGTCGTGAGTACAATTGTACTTGACCAAAACAATGCTGGCACGGTATGATCTGCCTCAACCGGGAAGTCGATTTCTTGAGTCCTTCACACGCCGCTGTTGCGTGGAAATGTTCGCCATATTGGGAAACTATCAGCTCCTGTTCCAATGGCCTAAAATCTTGCTCATTGAACGGATGCGGCGCAAGATCTGGTACCTCTATCGGCACCTCTATTCTCACTGGATCTGGCCTCCACGGATCTGTCTGCGCACCAGCTTCCACAAGTCTCCCCCGTTCTCCGCGCGTATACAGTCCACGCACAAATGTCTCCTCAAGAGGAGGCAAGGCCGATGTAGGTGGAGCTGCAGCACTTGACGATGCGGCATTCGCTTGTGGTTGTGTTGATGCTGAAGCCCTCTTGGGTTTGCGATGAAGCTGAAGCTCTCTGAGGATCTTCAGCTATCCTTCTCCTCCTGGAGGTCCTTATCCTTTGCACAGGCTGTTCCGGCGCCGGCTCCGATTCTGAGACGTCGACAGCTTGTGTCTCCTGAAACCGCTGAAGCTCCCGCTGAATCGCTTCATAGGTCTGAGCTCGGATCCTGGCCAGCCTTCTTGCCCTGCGTGACGTAGCCAGTATTCCCCATTTAAGCAGTTCCCACAAAACCACGCAAATCAGAATTCCAAGCATCAGCCACGTTGTTGTCAGTAAGAGTCCGGTCCACAGCTAATCCCCTAGGCGCTAGCTCTTCATAATTTGGAACAAGCTCCAACCCTGAGGCAAACCTTACCAAGAAGAATAACCAACGCCTTAGCCATTTGGGGTTTATAGGGCTGGCTGTTGCTTGGGCTGCCGCGTGGTGTTATGCTTGCTTCCGCTATTACTGGGCCACCCTCATTCGAGATCGCAATCTCATCATCTTCAAAGTCCTCGGTGACCTTCATGCCCCAGAGGATGAGGAGGTAGAAGAGAGACACTTGGTAAGAAGATCAGCAACAAGACGTAGTCCACTGCAATGCTCTGCGATGATGTTGCCGGACCTCAAACGCTCTGCAAGCCATCCAGCCCTTATTCTCAAATGACGAGTTCGCCAACTGCCAGTTCCATCCATAATTGCCAACGCAGCAGTACTATCGCTCACCATTCTCTTTGAAAGTCCAGTGACTTCGCTATTTTTCACACTGAGTGCGCTTGAGGCAAACACGTCACGTGCTTGACAACTTTGGTTGTGTCCTGGTCAAACCAAACATGCTTGCACATGCTCTTCATGGCACACATGAAACTCTGTACTAAAACACTAT